GCACATAAAATGTTTCACAATTTTGGTGTAACATGCTGCGCGCGCACCCTGCGCACCCTGAATTTCCAACACTGGTGAAATGTCGTCCGACTATTATAATTTTCAGGAGTTTTGAGAATCTGACATTACCTCACGTGACCAACGTGAGTCAAGAAAATTACGCGACCGTGATAAATTTTTTTTTGTTTTTTAAGCATAACCTTTTTCATTTTTTTAATAAAAACACAAAATAATAATGAGTAAAAGGAAAACTTACCCAGTTTCTTTAATAACTCTTGGCCATTTGAAATAAATTTTACATTTTGGTGTAAACATTCACAATTATTTACAAACGTTTAGATATTTATTTAACACTGTTAGTGAACTGATAATTTTATTGTTGTAAAATTATATAAAAGTTATCTTTACTTGTTTAAATTTTACATCTTTAAATAATAAAAATACAATTCTTAAAATACAAATATAAATCATAAAGAAATATATAAATATATAATCTATATATTGTATGGAAGCTTATAGACTTCCCAGAAAGCATTGATCATAATTAAAGATAACTTCTTAATTATAAATAATATAAATAAAAATAATAATATGATTATATTCCCCACAATATAACATAACAATATAATATCCACTTTTCTTAATAAAAATAATAATGATAATAATAATAATAATATGTATAATTCTTCACCAAAAATCCCGATTGCCAAGTAACTTAAATTAAACGATAAAATAAAATGAATTCCTCTTACCAAATATGGTAATAAAATTAAATGCCATTTGTGTGACATATTATTTCGAAGTTTGTTACATCTGGTTTTCTTTTTAAGGCATCTGCTAGTGCTTGATGATCCACCATCCATTGACTTAAGTTGGGCTATTAAAAATATGTCTTGTTCTGGTTTAGAAAGAGCTTGAAAAGATTCCCTTAATTCTGCAAATTGTTCCTTGGGAATTCTTGAAGAACAACCACAGTCACATCCTTTTTCTAAAAAAATAATTGCTTTTTCATATTCATTAGAACCATTATGTTTGTTAATTTTGTTACTGTTACTTTTCATATACACTTATCCCTATATATAATTTTATAATTTTGTGTTCAGTTTGTATGTTTTTAAACTTGAAATTGGTCCTATAATTAGGTGGAATAAATATCAAGAATATATTAATTGGTGGAAAATATGATCATTGAGTAATTCATGAAAGAATCTTTCAAGAAATTTTGACAACTGGTTTTATCTCCAGACTTTAATTAACCTATCACCATTAATCAAAACAAGAAAAAACAAATTGGTAACTCCATTTCATTATATGGTGCATAACCTCTAAAGACCTCCTAAATTTTGTGCAAAATTTAAAAGTATAGAACTCAAGAACTACCTTTATATTTAAAAAATCTGGCTCTATTAGTTGATAGATAAGGTCTTTAGCTTTAATATAATAGAGAGATTTTTTCAAAAGAATCATTCGTTATTGAGTTCTATTCTTTTTTAGCACATGCATTTTACTATGTTCATGAAGAATTTGGCAGCGAAGATCTCTGCCAAAATTAGAATATGTTTGTATATCATTTCTAGATTTGTTCATCCCAGATTTAAGTTACACGAACGTGATTTTATTTTATTTTTTAAAAAAATTATCTTTAATCTTTTCACAATGCCTCCTAAATGTCAAAATGATCATTTAAAAATTGTAAGAACTCTAAAACACAAAAAAAATTAAAAAAGACCAAAACTTATTTATCCTAATCCATTGTAAGTACTGGTGCAAGTGGAAGCTTTAGATGTTAATTAAGCAATTGCATTATTGGCAGTTTATTACAACAATAGCATGAAGTTCATGCAAAACAAATTACAGGTATATGACTTATATCATGATTATATTACCCCAATCGAAACTTTATATAATTCATATTTAATGATCTTTACTTTTTTTTATTGGGATTGATGAAGGTGTGCTAAATGATTCACATTGCTTGTCATGTTCTGGATTTTTCCTTTTGTATTTCCTATGTGCATGTGAATCAGAAAGGGAGATATCATTTGTATGGTCACAAATTGTCTTCAATGTGAACTAAAATGAGATGAATACAACAGTGAGATGTTATATATATTAATTAATGACAATGGGTATATAGTACCTTGATGTTTGACATAAGCACATAAAAACCTTCAAGAATTGCAAGTGACTTCAGGGTATTGGGCATCTTGATTTGGGAAAGTCTTCCAAAGCATAACACATTCCTGGCATTACAGTCCATTCCATAGATTTCATAGGTCCACCCTTAACATGAGAACAAAAAAGTAAATCATTTACTAAAATTTTTAAGGTTTAATTACTATATTTACTTGCTTACCTCATGATTGAATTCCAAGAACGTATGTGTGGTGAAGATCATCTCTGGGTGCATTAGGATTTGTTTAAAAAAATTATATAAAACATCACGCATAGCTACAGCAAGATCAACCCAATCTTCAAAAACTTTTTTACAATGGACAACTGGGAGACCACCACTCCTAAGACCAATGATGGCTTCAAGGTTATTAACACTATTTTTCAAAGTACCCCAAAAATTGCATTTTTGGCCTATGTGTGCATGGAGAATTATTGAATGCCCTTCATTTCTTTGGCAGGCAGAAGCTCAGCAAGTGATTTCCCCCCTATAAAAATTGTGAGAAAAAGGAATTATCACTTGAAGATTCAACTAACATATTCTTGTCTATACTTACACATCCATTTTTAGATCATGTTTGTCCAAAAATCCTTTTGCCAACATATTCAGAAATGAATTATCAAAGTCGGCTTCTGAAATAGGAAGTTTGAGATCTTTCAAGTTTTCAGCACTGTGATAGAAGATTGTAAGAATTAAATAAACAAAGAGGTGTGAAGTAATCTGTATTGCTTAACTCACTATGTGATGATGGTCCATCTTAAACTCATAATAATTTCTTTATCCTCATTTGTTAACTTTATGCTTTGATTTTTTTCTATGGTTTCCAGAGTCAAATTATCAATTGTGTTGATGATATTTTCATCATCTTTCTTTATTATCTAAAAATACAGTGTGTGTTAGCAATGTTTTAAAAACAATATAACAGACAAATCTTTTTATCAACCTTTTCTACTTCATCAAAAAAGTATTCAACAATATTCGGTATGTTTGACTCAATTAATTTCACGTCTCTTTTAAAACTCTCATTAATTTCATCCCAATCTTCTTTTGAAAAAAAAGATTTTATTAATGTATCTTCAGTTAGATCAAGAATGTTCCAGTATGCGAGACTATAAGAGAAAAAATTTCATGATTAAACACAATCACTAAACCCATAACATCTGACAAATCAGAAAGCATTTATGAGCCTCAGGGATTGTCTTTACATATCTTGCCAGTTCATTTCCAACATTAATACCACTACAGAGGAACCATGATCGATGAGTTGTTGGTTGATGTTCTTCTATGTGTTCTATGAAATGATTATCATCATTATCATTACTAATGTGATCATTATAAACCTTGCCATTACCTTCTTTGTCCATAAAGAATTTATCAATTTCATCTACATGTTCCTCTTCATGATCTTCATATTTATAAGCGAATGTGTCATAATCTTTATGAACAGATGACATTCTTGACATGATCTGTAAAAATTATTAGGTTAAATGTAGAAAAAAGCAATTTTTTGATCAGTACACGAAATATGTTACCTCCAAATAATCTGAAGCCAAATCCTTCTCTAGTGGTGTACTTTCATCATAATTCACTGGGTTTAATTCTCTAAGTTTCATACCAGTTGGTTCTCTTCTCTAAAGGAGACCATCATATAGAACATGTTCATTATAAATCATTATTTCCTTCAGTTCAATATAAATATTACCTTGTAAATATTAGGTGGAAAATTTTGACATTCTGGAGTCTTACACACTTGTTCCATTGGTCCAAATTCTATATTATAATATGCATAACACCCCTGTTTGGCTATTTGGTGAACAGCCTTTCTTCCCTCCAACTGCAATAATAAGTTTAGATAATGAGCTTTTATGATATGATAAAGATTTTAATCATAACTTACCTTTTCCATTTCTAATTCTAGCATATTCAATTCAGATTCCATTTTTGTTGAAGTAATCTGATCTCTTAAATGCCATATTCTTTTATTTTTGCTATTATTGGCAATACCCTAAATAAATAGAAAATCAATAATGTTTAATAAAGATAAAGTCTAAATGATTTATTGAGATGTAAGTGGGAAGAAAGTCCACAATAAGCAGTGGGCACCATGGCCCTCCCCAAGTGGCATTACAGGCAAATGAGTTTAGCTTAAGGGAAGTTTTCTTATTCAGGCACTACAGGCTGACTCTACGTTTCCATGACCACACGCATACTGGGCTACCTGTCAATCTTGTTACATAAAACATTATATCATATTGTTTTATTATCATCATATTAAGAATTATATTAATTTTTATTTTCTTTTTTCAAGGTTAAACCAAGTGAATGATCTTGTTACACAATCAACCATCAAGGAAAAAAACAAATTGACTTTGGCAATGTTCATTTACTAATAGAATTAATTATTATTATATAATGCTTGGACATAAGAATCAAAAGCTCGTAACCAATACCAATTGGAATGAAAAAATAACAACAATATAATCAATAAAACAAAAAGAAAGAAAGAAAAAAAACCAAACAAAAAAAATATCAACAACAACACCAAAAATAACAAATAATAATAATAATAATAATAATAATAATAGCAACAAAACACAAATATTCCACCAAAACTGAACAATCAATCTCAATATGAATACACCAGGGATATTCAATCAATTCAGTAATATCAAGGTAATACAATCCAAGGGTTCCACTCCCAACACAAATTAAATTATGATCTAATTTGTCAAAAGGAAAGTATATCATGCTTAATGGCTCAAAATGTTAATCAATTACAAATATATAGAATCATTATTATTATTAATTATGCACACATATATATGATTGTTTGATGTTACTTGAATAAAAAAAAAAGGAAAGGAAAACATATAATCGTGTAGTTTTCTGCAATTTGAATTCCCATGAGAATATTCAACATCCGCCAAAATTAAAATATCCGAAATTTACAATTTTGGCGGATGTTGAATATTCTCATGGGAATTCAAATTGGCGGATGAATTTTGGCGAAAAACTACAATTTCTCTAAAGACTATAAATTTTTTGATTTTAAATTGTTTGCATAAAGATTTTACATACATAATCTTCAATAGAAAATTTAAAATAAAATATTCTATTTATTATAACAAAGATACAGTAAACAATAAATCAAAGTATACAATGTGTATATAAACAATTGATTTCAAAATAGTTAAACATCCACAATATACACATATTTTGCATCATGTGCAAATAGTTTAAATGCAAATTATATGCGTAATTTGCCAATTTCTTGATGTTGATTATCCATGCAAAATCCATCTTCTTTATGAACTGATCTTTCCAAAATTGCATTTCGAATTAGCTAACTGGCTTTACTAGATCCCTAGCTAGTCGATTCACTCAGAGACCATATTAATTTCCAGTCTCTTCCCGACCACTTTGAGAATGGCTTACTCAGGGCCATCTCTAATCTCCTCCACCACCTTAAATATGTTATCAAATCGAGATGGTACAGATTTGTGAACCAACATCTTTAAGAAAGTTTTATCTTCTGAAATTGGTTCATGGTAGGGTTTTCATCTGATTTGTTTTGTCGAATTTGGACAAACCAGATTCACATTCATTAGTGGAGGGAGTTTTGAATTTGGATGCAATTTTTTTAACCTTTTTGGAGATAGCAGGTCTATTTATGTGTTTTTTTTGTAGTAATTTATTAGACTACTCTGTCAACACACCATTTGGTCATGAAATAGCATCAGGAAATTAATTTAGCGTAAACTTGCATAAATCTTACGATGCTGACGTAATATTGTGTAAATCTTACAGTGCCGACGTAAGTTTTACACTTTTTTATTATTAAACTTACAATTGACACGTGTAAAATTTTTTTATATTTTCCAGATGAGTCTATTTTATTGCTTGTCCAAGTTTAAATCACTAATTCTATATTTTATTTTCGTTATTGAATCAAAAATAGGCATGTTTTGATTATTAATATTAATATTAAAATCTTATGACAGGGACACACATATATATATTGGAGTTATTTGCATGCGGAGCATGCAATAATGAAAAAATCAGAATGTTTGTACTAAAATTAGTGAGAGCCTTTCCTGAAATTCCTTTAAGCTTGCCAGTATTATTATTACTAATACTATCATTATCATTATCATTATTATTTATATCTCCTAATCCGCCACCTTTAATGGTTAATTATTATTAGGGTTTCTATTTGAATAAGGTTTATTCGAATTATTGTTTTATTCATTATGAATTTGAGTACGTATTCGAATTATATTGAAAGTTTATTCGAATTAAGATCCATTATTATAGTTATGTAAAAGTAAGATAGAGAGCTAGAGTCTGCTGGCAATTCATCATTAGTTAGTTATAACACGATAAGAAAAAACTGTATGATTAAGTAATAAAGAGATTCCAATATAAAGAAAAAGACAATTTAAATATTTAACCATTGTTATTTTATGTTCTCAAAAAGATTGTTTTATACTCTATTTAATTAAAAGAATTTGTGTGTATTATTGCTTTCTTTATTATTATCTTTTTATACTACTACGAGTATTAATGCATGTTTTTTCTTTGTCATTCTAAGTAATGCATGCAGATGGACTCATCTCAACTAAGTGACTAAAATTCCAGACGTAACATGAATGTTAAGAAACATTTTTTTTATCACCTTAACTGATGGCTCATATCATTACTTTAAATGCAATTCTCTTATAAATTTGTTGAAACGATGTTTAATCATATGCATATATTTCAAAACCTAAAAACATTTGTTAAAACATGGAATCTTGGATTGTTCTCATTTGAAATTTTTTGTCTGTCATAAAAATGATTTAAATGCAAGCATGTTATGCAGCTTATTATTGCTTTACTTCTATAATTATTCAGTGGTTATGATTTTATAAAAAAATAATATTAAATTTTGAGTTGGTTCGAGCTTTATTTTTATCTATTTCAATCCAATATTCGTCATTGGGAGACCTTTCTTTTATATTCCATCCAACTGGATTATAACCACCAACTAATTCTCTTATATTTTTGAGTTACATGATGGCTACAATTTGTTCAATATCACATACATGTATTATAATATTTATCCTTAAATACAAATCTAGAGAATCAATTTGGTACAATGCTTTTTCATTACATAGATCATTTTTGAACTTGAAATTAGAGATTTCATTTGCAAATTTAATAATTTTCTGTTCTTATTTTTGATCTTGGACTGTCTGTTTGGTAATTTTCACCTAATTCAAGGATCATTACCACTAATCAAAGGATAAACAGAAGATTTAAATTTTTAATTAATAAATGGCCATGGCTGTGTACCAAAGGGTTAACATTGGGAAAGTAAGGTTAATAATCCTTCTGCAGATCCCCAAATAAGGTGATGATTTTGCATTTTTTAATATATTTCAGATCCTTTACTAGTGACCCAGCTGTGGCAGTAACCTATCTATATAGTTTTTGAGATATATCAAATTTTAATAGTAATAGGGTTTAAAAACACTTGCTGTAAATGATTGGGCTGGTAGCTACCATTGGTATAAATAGCTTTTGGTAGCTACCATTTGCTGTAAATAATTATGGATGCTGCAAATAGATACAGTTGCCACAAATAGATACTATGGCTGCTGCAAATAGTTTTCAAGATTAATATAATTATGTCATTTAGTATTATTATTAGTCATATTTATTTGTAGCAACCATAAATATTCTATAATGGCAACTACCTATAGTAGTTACCATTGCTGCAAATAACCAATCATGACAAGTGTCTTTAGTAGGTTTAATATTCCATGATCTACATATTGAGCCATGAACTTACACATTCATCACCATTATTATTATAATATAAATATAATTTGTTGACTGGTCAAGTTTAACTTTTTTTTTCTGATTAATTTGATAATTAGAAAATCTGCTCAATTAGTATTATTACTACTATTCATTCACCTTGACCATCTTGATCATTGTGGTTGAAAAGAGGATCTAAATTTATATATTATTTTATTATTACTATTCAGATTTGGAGATAAGTTTGCACAGTCCCATTTTTTCATCCTCTTTCTATCCTTATAAATTAATTGATTATTTTTTTACAAGATAATATAAATTAAATAGATTTTATGTAAATGAAAATAAATAATGTATATAATAATAAAATTAATCTTTTATCTTAAATTTTGAGAAGTGTTGTTGTTAGCTGGATCAGCCGTTGTTAAAGTTTCTACACTTAAAATAGAATGTGCAGAATTATCCAAATTTTTCCCACAATCAGAAACCAAGTGCCATTCTTTTGCATCTTCATATCCTACTCCAAAATCATCCTCTAGAACTTCCGGATGTTCTTGAGCATATCTGTTAAAAACTCTATGTAAACTTTCAATCATTGGATCTCTATACAATGTAATAGCTCCATGTTCTCTATTAATTCTTTCTGTCACTTTGGTTAATTTTGCTTGATTTTTAGGGTGTTTCAAACAATTTTCATTATCTTCCTGATAATATTGTCTTTGTAACCATAGTTTTTGTTGAGTACGTGACATGATATTTGATGGTAGTGGTGGTGAATATTTGAATTGATTTTGTTTTTGTTGTTGTTGTTGTTGTTGTTGTTGTTGTTGTTGTTGTTGTTGTTGTTGTTGTAATTGTTGCAGTAATTGATATTCATCAAGAAGAAGAGGCGGTTCTGATTCACTTGTAAAAGAATCATTTTTGAATATTTTCATATTTTCTGATGTAGGTTCTGTGATGGTGGCAGTGATAGATGATGGTGTTGTCATTGAGAATGTTGATGGTAATGATGAAAAGTTGGACTGATTTTTTAAATTAATATGTTTATCCATATTATTGTTGTTGTTGTTGTTTGAATTTTTTAATATTGCTACTGTCGGTACTGAAGAAGAAGAAGTGTTATTATTATTATTATTATCAACTTTATTTAATAAAGATGGCTTGTTGTTATTATTATCATCTCTATTATTATCATTATCATCTACATCATCATTATCAATATCTTTTTTATCATTATCATCTTCTATTTTACCATTATCATCTTTATTAGCAACAATTTTTTTACCATCGGCTTTAGTATCATCATTATCTTCGTTGCTACTATTAACATTATTGGATATTGTTTTATTATCATTGTTTATTAGTTTATTGGGAATATTATCAGAAAGAACACCATCGGAAGTATTTTTTTCAATTGTAGTTGTTTGTGTGGTGGCAATTGGTGTTGTAGTGGTTGTTGTAGTTGTAACTTCTTCAAAAGATTCTGATGCTTTATCTATTTTATCTAACATGATGATAAATTGATTACTCTTTTTTTTTTATTATAATTTTAATGAGGAAATTTGTTTGTGTATGTTGTGTGCAATTCACACACGTGAAATTCAAATTAACCAATCAGAATTTCATATCCAAACGCCCAAAATTTTAATTATATTAATATAAATTTCGATTTCACGTAGCATATATAAATTTATTTTTCACCAAGGATAGTTACACAAAATCTGGCATAGAATTTATTTATTTATTTATTTATTTACCAAACATTTGTTAAATAAATGAATTTTAGGTTGTAATAAATTAATTTATTTTGTAACTTCATGTATGGCTTCAGCTAAATATTTAACATTTTTTGAAGAAATTCCAGCAATGGAAATACGTCCATCTTTGGTTAAATATACATGAAAATCAGCAGTAAGTTTTTCAACCTAAAAATAATAATAAATTTATCATTTAATAATTTAATTTTTTAAAGAAAATAAATATTTTATTTATTTATTTATAACAAACCTGCTCAGGTTTTAATCCAGTGTAACAAAACATTCCAATTTGATCAGTGATATGATTCCAAGAAATCTTTGATTGAAAATCATTAACTAAATGATGCTTGAGTTTATCACGCATAGTAATAATTCGATTTGCCATAACTTTTACTTCTTCTAACCTTAAAAATATGTATAAGGTATATATATATTCATTTATAATATCATTAATTAATCATTGATTGTTTATTGTTCTTCAACTTACCATTCTTTATTTAGTTCGGGATTGTTCAGTACATAACTTGCAATTCTTGCACCATGTATTGGTGGATTAGAATACATGGCTCTAATTAGTATTTTAAGTTGTGAATCAATTGCAGCCTTTTCTTTTGAACTTTCAGAAATAATTGAAAATGCACCAGCACGTTCTCCATAAAGCCCCATATTTTTAGCAAATGATTGTGCTAAAGCTACCCGATGATCATCAGTTATAAATTTACGGATAGCATAAGCATCTTTATCAGTGTCTCCTGATGCAAAACCTTGATAGGCCATGTCAAAAAATGGAAAATGTTCACGTTGCTATACATACATACATATAATTTAAACAAATGGTTTGCTATATAAATAAAATCAAATTATATATATATATATATATAGTTTAAATACTTTTATAATTTCAGAAAGTTCATCCCATTGTTGTTGGGTTGGATCTACTCCTGTTGGATTATGTGCACAGGCATGTAACAAAAAGATTGAGTTTTTTGGTGCATTCTAATCATACATGTTATTATTATTAATAGTAATAATTAAATAATCAACAAAAAACAATAAAGAAGCACATTATTATTATTTGATTAATTAATCAATTAATTAATACCTGAACATCCTCTAGCAATCCATTAAAATCCAATCCATTGGTTGATTTATCATAATATCTGTATGAATCTATTTCTAAACCAGAATCTTTAAAAACAGCATTATGATTGCCCCATGTTGGTTTAGGTAAATAGATTTTTTTAGCATGTGGATAATATCTAGATAAAAACACTCCTCCAATTCTAAGAGCTCCTGTTCCTGAAATCGATTGAGTGATTGAAATCTATAAAGGAAATGCGTTTCAAGTTAATTATATTTTTAAAAAAAATCCCAATGAGCAAAAATTCATCAGCTTACTTACTAATCCATCTTTTAAAGGTTTGGAATCTTTACTATAAGCCAAAAGAGCTGCACCTTGAGTAAAGCTAGAAAGACCAGTAATTGGAAGATATTCCTTATCAAGTCGATCTTCAAGTATTTTTTTCTCTGCCTTTAAATAACAAATAATAAATAAATAAAAATTTTTTTGACATAATAATTCATCAATGGAGATTAAATATTTTAATTTAATTAAACCTTTCTGACAGAATTCAAAACATATGGCTTCCCATCATCATCTCTATAGGCACCAACTCCCAAATTCATTTTTTGGGGATTGGTATCTTTTTTATAAGCCTCTGTAATTCCTAAAATCGCATCAGGTGGGCCTTTTTTACACAATTGATTTTGTAATAAAATGATGATAATAGTCAATATATATATATATATATATATTATGTATCAAAATTTTAATAAACAATTTTATAAACCAAATTTAACCTTGAGGAATATGAGCCCAACTAGTAATAAAAGCACGATGCGTTATAGACGACTTTATTATATTGTTGCAACCATTAAATAAAAAAAGACCACATGAAAATTTGTTAGAAACCATTTTTTTTTTTTTAAAAAAAAATCTCAATTCGAAAAAAAATTTTTTCTAAAAAATAATAAACATGTAAGTAGTATGCATCATTAAAACTAGATCAACCAATTAAATTCACATGAATTCTATTTTTTGGTTTATTAAATAATCGAATAAACGTTTAATATAAATAGTCATTGTTTACTAAGCAAATTGTGCATTAATAAGAAAATGCTCATTGAAAATGATTTGTATAGCACTCTAAAATATCACGTCGGACTGATTGTTATTGATAATTTTATGTATGATGATGATGTTTAAAAAGACAAATTAAAATTTTTTAGAAAAAGTTGCACTTGGAGCTATTTTAAGATACCATGTTTTAACACATCTTGGGAACTTGGGAAATGTTGCCCATTTGTTCTCATAATTATTTATCTAATATTCATGGAGAATTAATACAAAACGTAAAAAATTTTCACCCACAATTTGCATAATATTTTAAAGAAATCAAAAAAATATAGGAATTTCCTTCATTTATTCAATATTTTGTCGGGTTTCCTTTTGAATCAATTACAGCTTGAACCTTTTGAGGAATGCTATCTACTAATTTTTGCAAATAATCAGGACAAAGATTAGCCCACTCATCCATTAGATAAGAAACCAATTCATTTGTATTTTTTGAAGGAGCAATAGTAGTAGTTCGATCTTAAATGCTTTTATTGCACAAATTACTTGTGACTGAGAATGATTGAGTGCACCAGCAATGTCACAAGTGCTTTTACTTGCTTCCCAACGTCCAATTATTCTTCCTCGTTAAAAGCCTGTCAATTGAGACATGATGTTTTAATTAAAATAAGTATTATTATATGATTATTATTTTTTTTTCGCGTGTTTTGATAACTGTGATTCTTTGATAAGTCGGATCACCATGCTCGGACACTCATGCCCAACTTATCAAGTTTATCTGCATGCTTGCCACCAAAACTATTGACAAATTCCATACAGGTTAAAACAAGCTAATTCAAATAAGAAATTGCAAACCAAGAAGCACAGAAAGTTACATGTGAATGAAAAGTAAACGAATTACTTTTTTAAACTGGATGTTTTGTTTTTACACGTTCGAAGAAACCATCAAATTATTATTAGCTTATCAAAATAGTAATAGTATCTATTTAGAACCCATCATCAAAAAATTTATGTGTACTCTACACTCTGAAATAAATTACAATATACACATTTGGCTACAACAAACATTTTATCTTAATGGTTGACAATATGAAAGAGCCATTAATAAAGAAGCGACGCAGAGTCTCGTAAATGTCCAAAAATACCAGCCATCATGGTCGAGTTGAAAGAATTAAGACAGTATATATATGATTGACAAGAAGCTTTGAAAATAGGAACAAAAAATTCTAAAGATGGGAGAAAGAAGAATATTTGCTGGATTCAGTCAGCTGTTAATGAAGCTCTAGTGAATGGGATCTAAACAAAGTTTGAGACAGTACGGAGATATCGTAAAAGCAAAGTTAATAGATGATGAAATTTTTCGTTACATGAAAAAATAATTAAATATATATTTATAATGTCTCTTTTTTTTTGTCTCCATCAACCAACCAATAAATAGTGGTAACCAGAATGCTGTAAAGAATTGTTTGTCGAATCATATGGTGTGCAACATAACACTCTGAGATTATATATTGTATATGTTGCAAATAATGTGAAACAATTTGTCTTCATTTTTATCAAGTTGGTTAACATTAACTGTTTGCGATGTCTTATAGTTATATATCAATAAGCACAAATCACGTATACATAACAAAATTAAGTTATATACAATTTCATTAGTTAAAACTTTGGTTTAATAATATTAATTATTATTTGTTTGATTGTTGTCTTTATTATTATTGTCTTAACATTACATTTATAAAGGTAGTCTAACTTCAAGTTAAGATTTTCTTGACAAAAAGATATATCAAAAGAAATGTATTGAATTTATGCAAAATGAGCAATCATTAATACAAGGGACTTTCTTCTTTTCCAATTTGTCCTATAAAATTATATAAAGTAGGTCAGAAAAAAAGGGAGGAAAAAAAGGAAAAGGAGGCCGAATAAAAAAAAAAATGAAAACAAAAAAGAACACGACGCCATTTAATGTTGATTTAAACGGGATGATTGATTCAGTCATGATCAGGGATGCTAAATTGTTCGTCAGTTCAACTTAGGTTCGGCTCAATCAGTTTTAAAGTTCAAGCAATCAAATTCGAAATACAAGTTACGTAATATAGTTATATAAATTTCCTTAATCATTACAATCAGATACGTTTGAATATAAAGCAGCGGTTAGCCACGCTATCACCAAACTAAAATAAATAGCTTTGCTATACGATTTTTTACAAGTAGAGAGTTGTGCTCTACTTCTAATCAATTTATAAACACATGATAAATAATATATTTTCAAAGGTATGACTCCTTTATCCTTAAAATAAATAAATGCTTACAATTTTGGTTTACGTGACTCTGGATCTTCTTTTGGCCTTCTTGGCAGATGTCTTGCTCTAGAAGGTCTTTGTGGATTTGTACTACTGTTAGCGTTAGTATCTTTTGTAGTTTTGTTAACATTAGTTCTTTCAGGGAGTTCTCTGGAAGTGGAACCTAGATTCAGATCTCATGTGTCGAGATCTTAAACTTGACATCGTTTTTGATGATTATTGTTTTTAGAATGATTTGGAATTTTATTATAGTTTTTTTAATGTCTCTTATTTATTAAAAATGATTTAAAATGATTGGTTCATTTGAAGCATTTACAAAATTGGTAACTTCCGTTGTATAGTGCACGCCACAATAATCCATCAAATAAAAATTGACCAACTTTAAAACCTAAAAAGAAAATATTGTGTGCTTATCAAAAAATTATTGGGACGATATTTGATAGGTTTTGACTAGTTCTACACTCTATCGTCGAGACAATTAAAAAATAATTATTGGTTCAGGAGTTATAAGCTTTTGAAAATTATGTTATATAAAATTTTCCAAATTTGTAACATGTAATTTTGGCCCACCTCAAGTCACACATAAAAATAGATTTTTTAATTCCGGTAAATCACGTGATATAATTCACCCATAAAAAAAATTTCGCGCGTTTTCTTTGATAATAATAATTGCATTGAATTTATGAATATAAAATAATCCCATTCAAATTTTTTGTTTGAAGTTTCTCTTGAAGGACCTTTGACTTGTTGTGCTAGACATATCTTAGCAACCCAAGATGATTTTAAAAACCAAAAACCCTTACTTCAAGAATTAATTGAAGAGAGAGGACATAGAGCCATCTTCTATCCAAAGTTCCACTGTGAACTTAACTACATTGAAATGTATTTGGGGGCTGCTAAATGATATGTTAGGCAACATTTTAATTATACATGGAAAAGTCCTCAAGAGAATGCCCCCAATGCTTTTGATTCTATATCACTGAAACAAAATTAGAAAGTATGTGGTGAGAGCCTCAAGATTTAAGGATTGTTACAGAAAAGGATTAACAGTACTACAGGCCGAATATATTGTAAAAAAATATAAGTCACATAAAAGGATTCCAGAGAATGTGATAGATGAAATAGATGAATTAAACTAATAATATTTTTATTTTTGATCGACATCTTTAATCGTGCCATGTTACCTCAAATTTTTTTAACATGAAAGTAATAAAAAAAATTCAAAATTTTTTTGTGAATTTGAAACATTTTGTGCAGCATTTGATGGGTTATAGTGGCGTGCACCGTACTAGCGTTGTGTTTTTTAAATCTGAGGTAAGTAAATCATTAATATTAGTATTTAAATATTATGATAGCAGCAACATTGTGCGAGCCGCAAACGCGAGTTCCCAGTCAAATCCACGTAATGAACCGACTTAGAGGTTGGTCCCGCGCGAAAATTCTTTAACCGGGATCAAATTGATAACACTTCCGTATAATACTAATACTGATCGATTTTGACCCCGGTTAATTTAATCACGTGAAAATTTTAACCGGGTCCTTCTTTGTTCAGTGACTAAATGAAATGTACCACGTTAGTATTGTTCCGCAGAGAGTTTCTAAATTTGACAAATCTGACTAGTTACATGACACGCTCCGATTGAAACCAAATACAAATTCAATATTAACCATCTTAATTCATGAGCTTTTTTTAATAAAATGACATAATGTAACACTTATGATCATTAATTTGATATATATAAACTGATAATGTAATTAAAAAATTTGTCTCCTTTCTCCTTTTTATGTGATAAATCCTCCTTTACCACTTCTCTGTCTATTTGCCAGACTCAACTAAATTCCTTAGTTGTCACATATTTTGTATAGAATCACCAATATGTGTGATGATAGCATATGATAGATTTGGCAATTGACCAGAGTCTATTGGCATATCATATTAACCATATTTAATATTTTATTAATGCTAATAGACCAGATCAGGTCCTGGTGTGTTGCCAACCCTGGCACATGGTATCAATCTTTTCTTATATTATCATCAATCAGCTCATCTTTTTCAACTTCAACTTTATGCTCTTTGTTTCCAACTTCACCAACAGCTTCATCTCACTTATCTTCATTGAATCTAACCATTACTTTATCCTCAGCATCATCATATAGATATTTCAATCATTTCTTCCGAAGTATCATTGCTATAAATAAAAAAATCATTGTCATCAGTGCCTTCATATTCTAAACTAGAACCTGTATTATTATTATTCATGTCATTATTCAATTAATTAATTTACTAGTGTTAATAATTTTTTTTTGTTTTATTAGCAAAGACTTTTAACTTCTTCAAGTTTATCAATATATTCATTAGGTTTACCAGGTTAGAGTATATTGATAAATGATAATTAGAATAAACAAATTTTCTATTTATGTTGCAATAATCCAAGCTCTACTCCTCCTTTCAATATTGCCTAACTTCTTCGAAATACCTATAGAAACATCAATAAATAACCAACCCATTACAAAAAGAAAAGATAAACAAAAACATGAGGAATGGAAGAAATGTAACAATATCTAACCATCATACATATTATAATTAGCTGGTAAAACTAAAGCCAATGCAATATCATACCAGCATTAGATAAAGAATACCAGAAATAAAAGCACAGTCGCACTTCGCAGAGGTCACTATTATATTCCCCACTCTGAAAAGCTGTTCACGATTTTATTAAAGGTAAAAATGAAAAGAGAATACCAGTTCGTACACATAAAGGTGCACATTATACTGTGCACTATTATACTAATTATGGACACAATGCTGTACAAGATTTCTTCTTTATATTTTTAAAATTTTTTAAGATATGACACAAATAGTTGACGATTCATCAAAAAATCTTCAATCAAAAGGCAAAGGCAGACAAATTGATGAAGAGTCTAATATTGCATCTATAAATACATCTATATCTACATCTACAGATTTGATTAAACCTGTTGATTCTTCTAACACAACTGTAAAAACAGAAGCAACAAATGTAGATTCAGAAAGTGAAACAATTAATGCAAAGAAAGAAATTATAAATGCCAAAAAGGTTGATGATGAGTATCAACTTAAAGCTATTGAATGGCTAGATCCAAATGTTGGTAAACTACGAAAATTAAAAGTTATCACTCAGAACGGTAATACTTGGAACTCTTTCTTTTTATGATCTATTTTTTTCGAAAATTTACGATTTTTTGAATTTTAATTTTTATAGAAAATGGCCCATGTCCACTATTAGCACTATGTATCCTATTTATTTTACAAAGGAAAAACATTATACTATATTTATATTATTATTTTTTAACAATAAAAAAATTGTCATTGAAATATATAAGGCAATGTTTTATTATTACGTGGTGATATTGAAATCAAACCGTATGATCGACCAACTGTAACTTATGATTTTTTGGTAGAGTTATTGGGTGATTATTTATTAAAATCGGTTCCTGATGGTGAAGCACAAGTTAGTAAATTTTTTTAAAAAAGAATCATAATTCTATTATTTATTCAACATAGAAAGTGTTGATTAATTGACTTGGGATTTCTTTAAAAAAAAAGATTCAAAAAATATTACAAATAAAAAGCGAAAAACATCAAAAAGATGAAATAAAGAATCAATTAAAAAACCAAAAGGATTCGAAATATGACATGAAAGATGAATCAAAAGACCAAGCAAAAAATCAAGAGGACGTGAAAGATAAGCTAAGATATCAAGCAAAAGATCAAAATGACATGAAAGATGAATTAAAAGACCAGGCAAAAGATCAAAATGATTTAAAAGATGAAATTAAAGAGGAAGAAAATCTAGATAAAAAATTAGAATCCTCAACAATAACAACAACAAATTATATTAATAAAGAAAGTTCAAATAATGTAGATTCTGAGCAACTTGAAGACAATAATCACGACCAATCATCTAAAGAAGATATAATAATAGGGAAAACCCCCGAAATAACTCGACCATCACTACAAGATTATCATCACACTCTTAACACCGCATTATCTATTATTCCATCTTTACAAACAGGACTAGATGTTAATGTTAGGTTCAATACGATTCACGGATTTGAACCTACAGCCGAATTGTCAGTGTTTGATGTGTTTGATGTGGATTTGGTTCATGGATGGGTAATTGACCCACAAGAAATTGATTTTTGGGATGTTGTGGTGGTGAAATGTGGTAGTTATAATAAAGCAGTTGAGTGTGTTGTACGTGGTGATTCTGTTAGTAAAGGTGTCGTGGTGGAAAGTTCTGGTGTTAGTGGTAGCGACAGAGTCAATAATGATTATTCAGGATATTTTGATGACAACAATGATAAAAACTTGGATACTGATGATAAAAATAAGATAAGAGATGGTAATTAAATATTGTTTATGATAATGATATGTATGTAATATATAAAATGTTGTTATTATTATTATATTTAGCCTTGATTACATCTCAATTTTTGGAATCTACTGCGACCCAATTAACATACCATGGATTATTATCATTATCAGAAACTTTACCACCAGGCCATATATGTGTATTATTCAGGAACAATCATGTGAGTTAGCTTCTTTTATTCTTCATCATCAAGATAATAAAGAAAATAATAAGAAAATAATATATTTTTAAATAAAGTTTTCAACGCTTTATAAACATCCAAAAACTTTGACATTATATGTGTTGGTAACTGATGCGGGATTTGTTAATGAGAGAACAGTTGTTTGGGAATCATTAATCGATGTTGACCAATCATCATCTGAATTTGTCAATGCACATTTTGAAAAGTGCGAAGCTGTCGGTGGTGATTATGTGGATGTTGATGACAATAACCATAATGATTCTGATGTATTTGGTGGCGATCAGGAGTAAGTAATAATAAAAGTAATAATATTAACATAACAATATATATATAATGATTAATACTCAAAAAATCATGGTTTAATTAATTAATTGTAATAATAGTTATGCACTTGCTTTAAGTCTTCAACAAGAAGAAGAAAGAGAAGCTGAATATCGTCAACAGAAAAGACAACAGAAAAAACGTGAGCAACAACAACAGCAACACCAGCAACAACACCAACAAAAATCATCATCAAGACAAGAATTTGTTGATGACGAATTAATAGAATATGATGGTAGAACAATGATAAAACAAAGAAAAAACAATAATAACAACAATGATGATAATGATAATGATAATGATGATAATGAATCACAAGTATCATCAAAAAAGAAAAAGGAATGTATTGTATCATAATAACGCCACTATTAATATTTATTTATTTATAGACTTTGTTTTATTTGAAAAAATATTTTATAAAGTTGTAATTAAAATATCTTTAAATATAGTTGTATTTGTAATTTTATTTTCCAAAATATATATGTAATAAATAATAATGGTAATTATATATTTATTTATTTATCAAAATGTTCATTATTACAAGTCTAAAATTGAAAACCACTTCCGAGGTCACCTGACCAAACTTGTTTTTTAATCTATAACACAAGTTTTTTAAACTAAGGTGCAACAATGAGTTTTTGTCGAAATACAGATTTAAATATGGCGCGCCGAACAGGACCTTTTGACCTGTTCGGCGTTCCATATTTAGACATCAAATGGTGCGTGAGAGCCATTCAAAATTATGACAGCTTTGAAAATGTCAAATATATTAATATGTGTAACATTGAGTTGTCCCCTAATATTCATTTCGTGTTGTCTTTGTTCTTTTTCTTTAGCTTTTTCAACTACTGATGATGATGAAATGAAATTTGATTAATGGGAGTTAAATTATTGGAACAGTTTGATGCGAATTTTATATCCAGAAAGTCCGACTTAGAGATTCCCAGATTTTATGTGGCAACAAACATCAAATTATGCATGCAACACTTGGTAAATTATACAAATTATGCACTATATTTTTTATTAGGCATAATGCTGAATTTATAAAACCATTTGTATTGGGAAAAAAATACCTTTACACAAAAAAAAAGTTAGATGCAATAGTAAAAAAATCTGCATTATTTCTTTTGGATTTTTTTCAAAAAATTTCGGAAAATTCAAATAATATAAATGTTCCAAAGTTTATATTTATTGGCAACTTTTCATCAGGAAAATGGGTACAAATATTATGCGTATATAATACACAATTGCAGGGATTAAGCATATAATATATGTACAATTTGCATACATAAAAAAATATGCGTTTTGTACGCATATTATATGCTTAATCCCTGCAATTGTGTATTATATACGCATAATATTTGTGCCCATTTTCCTGATGTTAATATGGAAATTACAATGAAAGCACCACCATCAGGATATCATACTACAAACCACCCAAACATAAAACCTTTTGTGATTATGAAGCTGCAATAATAATAAAAGAGAGATTGACGATTGTGTGTTAATATATGCTTATGCATATCATTATGAATGTTTTCAAAAATTAATTTTAATTCGTGATAGAAGTACAGTCAGACCTCCATAAGTGCATCCCCTTGGGACTGAGGGACAGCGAACAGGAGAGAACGTACTGGGAACACAAAATTAACAGGAGGGAATACAAAAATTTAACCCATGCAATTTTGTTGATTGACCAATTAAAATCGTGAATTTGATAACGTAGAAATAAACATACGGGCCAATTTTTTTGATCGACATCCTGTGACATTTAAAAATTGATTATTTTTATATATATATTAAAATCACAAGTCATCATACACGAATCTATAACGCACATAATAATCACTCTTGTGTTCCTAAGATATTCTCCTACGACCTTTAAATATAGCATGGTGCCAATCATCTATAGACATCAAATGCTGCGTCATTTGGTGAAATTTTTTCATGAGAATCATTCCTTTTATGGAACCGCGATTTTTTAACGCGATTTTTTTTAATTCAA